CAATGTAGATAATATGGATATCACAATTCTTGTTCAAATGCTCACAATATTGGAGAAGATAGAAGAAAAATACAATGAATAACACGATTTTAGGGAAGAAAGCACATTAATGTATTTTGTAGTTGAATTGAGGGATTTAATTGGATTGAAAGAGTATTTAGGTATTTTTCATGGTGAGGGCATTTTAGATATTTGACATTATTTATTTATTGTATTTTGTAAGTGAAGGTCATTTGACCAAAAAACATTGAAGGAATGTTATTTTATCAATATCATTGTTTTTTCTAGGCTTTTTTATCAAATCCCCCAAGAAAATATTATTGAGTTATTCTACGGGTACATAAAGAGGGCATATAAGGGTATCCAACGCGGCAGATGCCCTTCAATAGGGGAGCCTTAAGTACCAATAGAATAATTCAAAATAATTTTCATAAACCTCTTTTTTCTATGGAAAACGACCCGGTGGCAGGATAGAATGTACTACCGATTAAAATCAAATTTTCAGGAAATTAGGGTGTGTTTGCTACACACAAATTTTTTATGAAAAATGAAAAATCAATTTCAATTCCATATTTTTGCTTGTTTGATGTTCTATTTTTCCATGGAATTCATTTTCTAGCTTTTCATGCCACCTAGAATGTTTCTTGCTTTTCAAGAAATTCCAATTCTCACCAAATTGAAATTCCCGATTATTATAGCACTTTTTTTTTCGATTTTTTTTACAGTGGAAACAAATTCTAAAAATAACTGTAAAAAAATATTTTCCTTTAACGAAAAATTTTCATGTAAAATAAAGTCAAACGAATACCAAAAGATAAATGATTTTCTTTATTTTTTTTATTGTTAGCAATGGAAACAAATTACATCCTCAATACCAGTAAGGGCCTATTTGATTGATTTGAATTCCACATTTTTCCAATTTTATGTGTTTGATATGTTTTATTTTTCATGGAATTGTATTTTCTTGCTTGTATTAGAACTTGATATTTTCTTGATTTTTCGGTTATTGTAGCATTTTTTTCCTTTTTTTTTGTTGGCAAAGTTAACAAATTTTAAGAATTATTGTAAAAAAATATTTCCCATTAATTGACAATTTTTATGTAAAACAAAGTCAAACGAACACGAAAAGATAGATGATTTTCTTGATTTTTTTTTGCAATAGAAACAAATTTCATCCCTAATATCAGTAAATTTTAGGGAAAATTGCAGCCGAAGTACCAAACCTTTCGTTTATTAGCAGACTTTGCCCAAACCTTTGATTTGTGCCACCGTGAGTACCAAACCTTTAAAAAATATGCAGCTCAAGTCCAAAATGACGGTTTCCGTCTGCTTGACCCAAAAATCCGTCAGTTGACCCCAGAAATTAAAAATCTGATTATTTTTCCCAAATACAGTAAGGGCAATTTGGACATATCACATTTTCCCTCTAAATTAAAAATTAAAAAAGCAAAAAGAAAAACCATAACCCCCCACCCCATCTCCTTCTTTCCCAACCCCCCTCACAGTTGGAGCATAATTCTGATGACTTCCGACCACCTAGACCACCGAATATTGGTACCATCGGAAAGCCATTGATCTCCTCTTCAATTAACACCAATCATCTCCCCATAAAACCAGTGGATTCAGTCGCAATTAATCAACAAAGTCAGCTGATGAAACTGTCGAAATCACCACCTCCGGTCATCTCCTTGATCGGAACCCAATACAGGTTGATTGCCCACCCAAATCTAACTCCAACAATGGTCCTAATCAATTCCAAACAGTACAAAAACACATGGAATTAACAACAAAAAAATCGCTGGTCGCGATCGCGTAACCTGTGCAACAGGGTCCGAAAATCTCAGATTTCGGCGCCGTCCGGTAGACCCATGATCGCAGACCACCATGGCTAACCTCCCCTCCACCTGGCGCACCTTGCCCAGCCATGGGTCAAGTCCAATTTGGTCCAAAATTGAGCGAATTCATGGGTGCAATTAGGGCTGTGTGCGATAACTTCAGTTCTAGGGAATTTGATGTTTCTATGTTGCTCCAATTGTTCAATTCGACTATCCAAACTTCAATTGGTGATGGAAAGGTCATGGGTAATCATCCAATTGTGCCACTATTCTACTGGTAAAGGTCATGGGTAATCATCCAATTGGGGAAGAAGGAGACTGGGTGGGGGTTATGATTTTTCTTTTTGTTTTTTTAATTTAATAGGGAAAATGTGATATGTCCAAATTGCCCTTACTGTATTTGGGAAAAATAATCAGATTTTTAATTTCTGGGGTCAACTGACGGATTTTTGGGTCAAACAGACGGAAACCGTCATTTTAGACTTGAGCTGCATATTTTTTAAAGGTTTGGTACTCACGGTGGCATAAATCAAAGGTTTGGGCAAAGTCTGCTAATAAACGAAAGATTTGGTACTTCGGATGCAATTTTTCCTAAGTTTTATCCCTTTAATTGACAATTTTTATGTAAAATAAAGCCAAATAAACACAAAAAATACTTTATATTTCAACATTTTACACATAAAAAATTATACCAATCAAACACAATAATTTAAAATTTTCAGGAAAACAATTTCTAGACAATTCAATTCCCTAAAATTTGTTTTCAATTCAATTCAATTCCATCTTTACAATCAAACGGACCCTAAATTCTATACCTTTAATCAACAATTTTCATGTAAAACAAAGTCAAACGAACACCAAAAAACACTTTTATTTCAACATTTTTTATGTGAAAAATTATA